TAATTAATAATATATAATATAATATAATTATTAATTGTACCTGCTCCATCTGTTGCAAACATAAACGTGTTTGAAGGTTTGGACCATCCGAATCGATTTCTAGCAGTGACGAAAGCTTCATAAATTGTATTTTCTTTCAGTCCTTCAAATGTGTACATTTTCGAATGCGTGTATCCTGTGCTCATTTCCGCTGGAATGTACAACTTCTTCCATCGATTATTGCTTTGAGATTTAAAAGATAATAAATACTCAATTATAGGCATGTAGCTATCGACTTCCCAAATTAATTTGTACGAATTTTTGGTATTAACGTCGTGCTGATTGGCCATTTTGAAAACAGGTGGTTGGGGTATACCTAAAACGTGCAATTAAACAGTTTTTATCGTTATTAAAATTAAATATAAATCTAACAAAAGCGAAAAGGGTCAACATGACCAAAATCAATATTTTTTGATGATATGTTTAGAAATTAAATTAAATGAATTTCTAAGTGTCCTAAAAATGGACTAAAATTTTAATTTTTTGCTAGAATTTAAACTTCCTTGCGCGCCAATTGGTCCGAATTTTTTGTGTTTATTAAAATTATTCATTCAGGGCCATAGTCAGGGATTACGTCAGGACCTGCCCTGGAAAATTTTAAGTCTGCCATTGCCGCAAGCTTGAGCTTCATAAGGATTTCGAAGTTTCTATGCGTAATTTTTCGATTGTACTTCTCCTGTATTAACAAGGGTTAACCGTTCACAAGGATCATCAGCGAATGTCTTTGATACTTCTTGCATATGAACAAAATCGTACAAAAACTTAATACTCAAGTGCATTTTATGAAGAAATGAAAATTCATCAATGTACTTCAATGAAACAGGAATTATAGCTCAATTATAATCTTTACTTTAAATTGTCCCGGCACCTCCACCAAAATTTTTAATAAATCTTTTTAGCAATTACAATATATATAAAATCGCACAAATACTTAATACTCAAGTGTATTTTCATGAAGAAACGAAAATTCATCAATGTACTACAATGAAACAGGAATTATAGCTCAATTATAATCTTTGCTTTAAATTGTCCCGGCGCCTCCACCAAAATTTTTAATAAATCTTTTTAGCTTTTCCTGATAGTGTCATTTAATTTTCTTTTTATTAGAAACTCTAAATAAAAAAGTGTAAGGGTATTTAATTATATTCTTTTTCGCCGTACAACTGACTACTAATTAATAAAAGAATTCATGGGTTTGAATTTTTATACGAATTTTTTTGTGCAAAGAGGATCAAGAACACAAACGTAGAACTTAAGCTTTTATTGTGGGTATTATCTAAGAATTCATATCTTTTGGGCTATTGGGCTGTTGTCGATGGCAGAAATCACCAAACGTCTAGATGATGGTAGTATTTAGTGCAGTCGATGGAGAGACAAATCTCTTTGGTTTTGGTTGTGACCCTCCACAATGACTTTTTTAGTAGCAAATGGTCCGGAACGACATCCTGAACAACAATTCTGGAAGACACCGGTTCGATTCCAGATCTCTCTGCCTTGTTCCAATTTTTCTTGGTTTCCTTGACCATTTAGATAAATGCTGGGACAGTAATATTCCAAAAATATTGTTTTACTTCTCTTTTATATCTTGATTTGACCCGTCTGATCTGTCTCTCCCCAACTACCAACCCCCTATTTCCACAATTCCTAAAAGTATATTGAAGAGGGATTTTGACCGCACCTGAGTGTGTAAGAACGGGCAATTGTCATTTGTAGATGGTAGGAACAATACACAAAAAAGTGTTTTCCGTAGAAATCAAATTTGTTGGTCGTTTCGTTTACGGCTGTGGAAGGAATCTTCAATGGATTACGTAACAATATACACAGTATGTGGTTATCCACTGAAGACGCCTCCCACTATCGAAGGTGAAAGGTCTAGCAGATTTTATTTGTAGTTTTGACCACAGGCCACAAACCCGGAAAACATTAGGCCTTTTAAATCCTATTTATTCATTTAAGAAATCCACAATGACGAATAATTATTTATAATGAAATTTAGTTAATATTAGTTATAAATAATAAAAAGAAAATGGTACCGGTTACTTGAATGTGAATTTCCCCATGTCCCATTTTATTATGTGCTCTGCAAGTATATTCTCCGAAATCGTCCGATGTAACGTTCCGAATTACTAATATGTGCTGATTTTCATCATCTATTTCCATAATTCTGTAATTTAAATCAATGGGGATGTTGTCTTTTAACCACTGAACTGTAGCGGGAGGATCCGCAGATACATCACATTTGAGTTCGACTTTTATACCTGGTGCCGTGAATATCGTTGAACGATGTGTCATCAGTTCTGGAGGATCTTTGAAAAATTCAAGAAAAAGTTGGTAAACTTCATATTTAAATTCCTGAAATACTATGTGATGGACACTGAAGATTCTCTTTATGGACCCAGTTGTGGTGTCAAATAAGATACCCAAAATTTCACAATTAATTGATAACTTAATCGTAATTCAATCGAAATGAATCTTATAGACCCTTTATTTAGTTTGTGAGTTTCTGGATTCCATCATTATTATTTTTAATTCCAAATTTTCTGTTTAGATAGAGCGTGCCTAATTATTATTCAAACATAATCTACTCACAATTGATAATTAGTCTAATTTTGGCGCTGGCGGGATTTCCAACGCCATTTCTGGCCACGCACGTGTAATTTCCGGATAAACTTCGGTCAATGGCAATAAATTTCAGCAGTTCTCTATGATCCAAAAGTTTCAATTCCACACCCTGAGATTTTAATTTCAAATAAATACTTTGATCAAAACTATGGTCATAAAATACATGTACCTCTTTATACCAATTCATTATCGGATACGGGACACCTTGTGGTTTGCAAGACATCCACACCTGCTCACCTATTTTAACCCTTAACACTCCGCTTATAGGGTCAGGGGTTACAGAAGGTGGATCTAGAAAATCATAAGTACCTGTATACGTTTAATGAAAATAATTTTTGTTTGAAAAGTTTTGTCTGACGAAGGAAATAGATAGTGAGATATGATATTGAGATTTTCGACTTGCAACAAACAGTACGATGAAGAAAAGGAAAATTTAAAATAAAGATGTTTTATGACCCGTGTATTTTACATACAACTGGTGAGGTTTTCTTTACATATCCCATGAAAACTTGGTGTTAGTAGAATGAAGATTCGGGCTATAGGGCCGTGTTCTAAGTGAACTGTTCCATCCAGGCCTTATAGCCCGAATCTGCATTCTACTATGGATTCCGGCCGTGAAAGCCTTTGTTCTTATAATTGGTGTTAGATTAATAATCAGAGAATCCTGTCTCGTGTCATGGGATACTTGGCAAGATCGTCAAAAAAACTGGGAATTAAAAAGAAGTTCATCTGGGAACGTTAATTTTTTCTGGTTTGTTTCTTGTCGCCGTAAAACTTCGTTCCAATAATTAATGTAATAGCAAGCTACAGACAGTATATCACTAGATGGCGGTATACTGCCTATAGCTTGATATTGCTTTAACTTCCTTTTATGAAAAAACTGATCCACGTTTTGTAGCTTCGATTAATTACTGACCGATAAACAAATAATTGTGGAGTCAGTCGCAAACATCAGTTAGTGCACAATAAATGCAACTCAAAACAGACAGTTACTAATTGAATTTAGTTGTGATTTCACATTTTGTTTAAGTGGCCCTAATGGAAAAGGATCAGTATTTTCTAACCTATTTTCGGAGATTTTTACGTTACTGAAAATAATATACAGTTTTTACAGTATTTATTATTACTGCTATAATAATTCCTTTGAGTTGTTACAAATCACATTTCTGTAATTCTGTATGTACTCACGTAAGACTTCAATGGCATGAATTTGTTGTATAGTTGACCATGGATATGGTCTTATAATTTCGCACATGTATTCTGCCGTATCTTTCGGCTCTATTTTCACTACTTGTAAAGACCCATTTCCCCAAAGGGTAAATCTGTCTGGAGCGGGACGTTGAGGGATACTGCTATCCACCAATAACCTACCATCCTTATACCACCGTATTTTAATTGGAGATTTAGGGGAGTCTAAAAGAAATACGTGGGTCTTATTTTAGGTACTAATTCAATTAAAAGATAATTGGATTTAACTACTTAAAGACAGCTAAGATGCTGGTTTACAAACTTAAACTATTGTAAAGTATGAGAACAAGTGTTAGGTAGGTACTATTAAACGGTTATGAATTGGTATGAAAACGTTTGATTTCTTAAACTCATTTTACCGATAAAATTGAAGTAGGATTGGTAGATAGGTTTCTATTGTTAAAAGGAAAATGCGTTTACTAGGCTTCTGATCCAATTTTTTATTGGTGAATGATGAGGATACTGTAGATAGAGAAGGTTAGAAATGAGGAGTTTTTAGAAAGAGTAGGAGAATAGAAGACGAATTGGAATAGACAAGGTAGGTTGGTAGGACGCTTTCTTAGACATGAAAGGCTAGTTAGAGACATATTAGAAGCAGATACATAAGTTAAGAGGAGAGATAGATTAGATTGTTGTTCACAAATAGTTAAATATGTCGGTTGTTCTAGTTTTAAGGAAATGCGAANTTGAATTAAGGGCCTATTTTTAGTAATAATTTTTCTTACTTTACTTGTGTAAATGAACACTTAAGTATTATTCAATTAAAAGTTGTCTTTTCTGATAAATTTAATGTAGAATCTCAGACAATCCTTAAAAAACTATTTACGATAATCATTGATTTACCATCGTATCTTTTGAGATATTGTCTTTCTATTGATTCTAGTTCTTTCATCAATTATTATTACTCTTACCATTTGCCCTTTTATGGCAGCTTGGGGTGTTATTTCTACTGATACATCCTGCTTTTTTTCAGACATGCTGCTTATGTATTTAGCAACTCCCATTAACATTTCGAAGTCATCTGCTCCTTCCCCTCCCCCGAATTCATTTTCTGTACTTTCTTCTTCTACGTCTTCGTCCTCTTCCATTGTAGCACTTTCTTATTTGTCTTATTAAATAAATACGCAATGTATGAGTTGAAAATAGTAATTAACTGGGTTATTTATTAGTAAACTGGGCGTATTTTAAAGATTGTCAACAAATTTATAAAATGTTTTGTGTGACAAGTGACTTTTGTTTGTTTAGGAAACAAATATATATCGTTGTTTGTTTTTATAAGCCAACTAGCGCATGAAATGCGACATATTTTTTATTAAGTTACATCGTATGTTTGATGATATAATAACACACTGTTGTTCAATTTATTTTATTAAAAGGGGACCAAAAGGGCCATTTTATAAATGTGTTTGTATTGGCTGATTTGGGACATTCTCTCAAAGGCCGCATATGTAGTAAGAAAAAGAAGATGACGAACATAAACAGTATTGTAGGTTAAGTCGGTTAATTGCTGATAAAATTCCATTCATTCTATAAGTAGTAAAAAGTATTATTAGGCAGTGATAACAGCAAAATGGAAACGGATAAATTAACTCTGATAAGGCAGCGACCATCAAAGTTCAGTAAAATAAAGGAATTAGATTTTTTCCCAAAGTTAGATGAAACGTATAAGGAAACATCACCTGTAGGAGGAATGGGTTTGTATCGCTTATAGTAGGGTTTTATAATTGATTTTTGGTTTTTATTCATTTATTTTAGTATCAGTAGTATGCTTTGGAATCATCTTTTGGCTCATATACTCAGAGATAAATTATTATCTGCATAGTAAACTAATCTTTAAATTCTCACCAGATACTGACTTTGATGCTAAATTAAAATTAAACGTTGACATTACAGTAGCAACTCCTTGCCATGGTGAGTGTTTTTGTCGTTTAACTAAAATATATTTCATTTAAAACCCAAAAATTTTGTCAGCTATTGGTGCTGATGTAGTAGATGATACAAGCGAACACATTATAACAACTGATTTCATTAAAGAGGAAGATACATGGTTTGAATTGTCCCCTAATCAAAGGCAATACTTTGATCATAAAAATTTTATGAACAGTTATTTATGTGAAGAGTATCATGCAGTGCAGGTACTGCAATAGAGAACTGATTTTATTGCATTCTGATAGACTATTATTAATTGTTATTAATTAGGATCTTTTATGGAGGAGCGAATTTTCTTCTGTGTATAGTGACATGCCTGAAAGAGAGGATAAGCCTAAAAGGCCTCATGATGCCTGTAGAATTCATGGATCTTTGATTTTAAACAAAGTTGAGGGTCTATTTCACATAATAGCAGGGAGAACTGTAGAGTTGCCAAGAGGTCACCTTCATCTTAATATATTTGATTCGAATTTTAATTTTAGTCATAGGATAAATAGGCTTAGCTTTGGGGATCCAAGTCCAGGAATTGTCCATCCTTTAGAAGGGGATGAGCAAATAACTGAGCAGAGTAAGTCAGTAAAAAAAAATATTGTCCCTAGAGATAAGCTTTTAATTTAAGGATTTGTTCAATTCACCTTCAATAAGTTTGAAATGTAGTTCAGTCTACTCCAAACTGGTAATTATTCACCTAGATCTCACTTCCTATACATAAATTTCTTAATAATGTCTTTTGTGTTATCAGCTCATCTTTGGGGACAACTGAGAAGTAGCTTTCTTTTCAACAGACCTCGTTACTGTAGTGGCTATTTTTTTGCTTTAGGAAATACTCTGTATCAGTATTTTATTGAAGTAGTTCCTACAAATATTCAGACTTTTATGTCCAATATGGACACATTTCAATACAGTGTAAAGTCACTCACTCGAGAAATAAATCATGATTCGGGGAGTCATGGTGTACCAGGGATTTTCATTAAATATGATATGTCTAGTCTTAAGGTAACTGTTCGACAAGAACGAGATCATTTGGGGATGTTTTTAGCTAGATTGTGTTCTGTAGTCGGTGGAGTTTATGTTTGTTCAGGTTTGTACCACTTTTTTATTGATATCAAAACGAAAATTAGATCAAACACCTAAAAAGTTTTGTTTTTAGGATTCATAAATGCACTGCTACAATTCCTGGCAAATATAATTTTGTGTAAATGGGAATTTAAAAAGGTAACTGATGTAAATGAAAAGCCAAAGTCAGTATTTCATCAAAACATATCAACGCATGCATCTAATAACACGAAAACGTTGGAGGTGTATTAATGTCTTGAATTTATTTAATTAATTATATTAATTATGTAAGCATCACATTACAACAGGACTTGTTTTACATTCTCTTTTTGTTTGAATAAAATTGTTGTAAAATAAATAAGTTTGTTTTTTTATTCGACCCATTTATTTTACCTAACACAACATAAGGAGAAAAAAGTATCGCATCACTGGTGAAGATTAATTGAAATTAACTTTCACTTCTATTAACGGTAACATTCACAAATGATTTTTGTTTTGTTTTTTGGGAGTGTAGTAAAAAAAAGTGCGTTACTTCTTTAGTTTATATCGACTATTTCCAGTCAGATGCTGATCACTTATTTATACGGCCCTGGAATATATCCCTTTTATTTTTGGAAAGTTTCTTTTGTCTACTGTTTCATTTATGGGTGGTAGCTACTAGCTTTCAGGTACATAAATGGCACCGCCGTATCGATCGCCTGCGGCATTCGTTCATAACAATATTCTGATGCAGAAAATGTAATTCACTTTTGACTGTTTTTTTTAATGGATTAATCATTTTATTACGTTTTAATAACGTTTGAAATGTGTAAGGTAGGAGTGTAGTAATTATCTACTCAATGTTTCTTTCGGAGATTCAGGAATGAATAGACGGTTTTATTATTACAGATCATGTTTAATTACATTCAAAAAAATTAAGTATGAAAATAAAAAATAATAAGCGTTATTGGGCTTAATTAAAAAATTAAATTAACACATCAAAATCATATATTCTATACCAAATAGTTAAATTTAAGGTAAGTCAGTAGAAGAATATAAATATAGGATAGTCTTTTAATACTTCCATTATTATACGTTAGTGATGGCGTAGGAAATATTTCATTATTATCTATAAATGTTACTTTTGTTACTTCCTCTTCTTTGACTTCTAAAAATGTAAAATAAACATTAGGATAGTTTCAAAAATTGTTAAAAAAAATATGCTAAAGTCGGCAGTATTTGGAATAATTTTTGTTGCAAGCTTTCAGAAATAGAAAGAAAAAATAATTTTTAAATTAAAAAGTGCATTTCAGAAAACTCCGATTTAAATGAGAGCCTTGATGAAAATGCCTTTAT